ATGGTTGGAATATAAATTATGCTTCTAATGGCCAGGAATGTCCCTCCATAGAAAAACACGTAGATTGTTGTCAGATTTTTCCACTGCAATAGCTGCTGCTGTTGCATCTTATGGCCAGCTTATTAGGCTCCTGGCATTTTCCATTTTCCCATTTACAAGCAGCTGTCATTTGGCATGCCTCGCTGCATTCTACTGGCTACTTTTCCTTTATTTTCTGCTGCTCCATTATTATTTATTTCGAGGAAGTGGGGAAGGAGGAGGAGCAGAAGTCGTCTCTACGCCTTGAGTAAACATTATTAAAATTGCCAGCGTTGCTGGGAAATCCGAAAATAACCATGGCACCCATGCCACACAGAGTGTCGAGTGTCGAGCGAGAGGAATGAAAATTGTCATTTTCATTTTCATGTGGGAAAATCCCAGACACACACAGGCACATTGAAAAATGGCAGCCAAGGATATTATTATTGCTAAGCTAAAGTGGACACACACAGGGATATATTATGCACTGATAAAAAATGGAATCCCTGGTAAATAAATATTTTTATAAAATAAAAAGCAAAATATTTCAAAAATAAATCATATTAAATTGCATTATTAAATTTAAGAATATTAAAATCCATATTAAATTGAATGATAGTCATATTTATATTATTCAAATATTTAACGTCATTAAAAAAGGAATTTCATTTCCAAATCAAAGTTAAAAATATTAAAATTAACTATAATAGTTAGATTTAACAATTCCATATTTCAAAATTAATAAAAACCGCAATGAATTTAAACCATAGCGATAAATATTTAAACTGAATCTTTGGATTTACTACGTTATTTTTATCAGTGTTCTATTATATATGGTTATATTTATGTGGGCTATACGATATATGTACAACTTGTTGCTCCGCTGCTGATTATCCTGTTTTTTTTGCTCCCTTTGGCTTTATTAGAAAACTGTCAGCAACTCTCTGGATCTCTGGTTCTATGGCTCCGCATGCCCCAACGCACACTTGACATTTATTTATGCAAAAATGTGAAATCATTTGTGAAACTTGCCGTCAACGCACAGCGTTCACACACATATACTTCTCCATATATCCTTGGCCAGCCAAAAGGGACTCAATTCCGAAAGGCAACCAGATCCACGCCTCGTTGAATGTTGCCTACAATTCTCGTGGGTTGGTGGACCATAGGAAAAAGTGCGGTCCATGAATCAAGTTTTTTTTTCTCATGGCAAAAATGGGTAGCAAAAAAGTCACTCCACAAGTGAATGGTTTTTCTTCCTGTTTTTCCCCCACTTTGAGCTTTTCCTGCTCAAAAAGAGTGGGTGCTAATAACTTATGATTGGATTAAAAACTTGGCTTTGCTCTCGCTGGCCACAACAATTTCTGGGAATTTATTCATTTAGTTTCCATATGCAGACTAAATAATTTGAGCTTCTGAATCCTCTGAGTTTTTTTTTTGAAATATATAGAATTTGTTTGCTATAAACCAATAAAACCAGGGACCGAAAATAATGATTTTTTTTTTTGAGTAAAAAATAAAAATCTCCATTTAATGATTATTTTGTAAGCGAAAAAAATATCGCTCAGAAATAATGATTATTTTGTGAGCGATATATTTCGCTCAAAAATATCACTCGAAGTGGGATTGCATCCGTCCTACGCGAAATTTTACAAAGATTTAAACGTGCTCTTGTAAGTAGAACCACGGAGCACATATTCCGTTAAGAAAAAAATAAATTTTCTATATATAAACCGCTTAAAAAAAACAAAAAAAACTTTTTGTATAAAAACACTTTCTGTGGGATTCGAACTCGTGCTTACAGCTCGGTGGACCAACACACTAGCACCCAGCCCACATGTCGGGTTGGATCTAAGTGGAATAGTTGTCAAGTTGTTTTACTAATAAATAAATGACATAAAGTTCTAAGGTTGATACAATTTTTTGTATTTAAGCATACCTCTTGTCAACTAAAAACCGCGTTTTAAAAAGTTTATACAAAGAAATCACCATCTTTTATTAACTCGATGTGTGCTCCGTGGTTCTACCTACAAGCAGAAATTTAAAAGTTTGTAAAATTCCGTACAGAACGGCTGCAATCGCACTTCGAGTGATATTTTTAAGCGAAATAATATCGCTCACATAATAATCATTATTTCTGAGCGATATTTTTTTCGCTTACAAAATAATCATTAAATGAAGATTTTTATTTTTTCACTTATAATGATTACGGTCCCTGAATAAAACTGATCAGACAACGAAATATATTTTAATGAATTTGTTTCGTTAAAGGAGTTAAAGTTTACATGAAATCTCTGGAGGCCTTTAACATAACAATAAAGCAAAATAAATTGCCATTTTCTGTTGTTTGTTATGATTTTTGTTATAAAATATTTTACGACACCTAAACATCTTTTTGGAAAATCCCTAGAGATTTTATGAACATGTCATTTCTGTGAAGACCTTGCTACATCTTCAAAACAAGCTATTAAAACAAGGAAAATCCATGAAAATACATTCCAAAGAAAAAGTGGCTTTACGCCTGATTGTATTTGTTCCACATAATCTGTAGAGCCTGAAACCCTCCGTTCCCCCTTTTCCCAAAAGAAACCCCTGCACTTGTAACTAATTTCTTTTGTCGCATTCAAATCAAAGGCACACGTGTGTCCGGTGCTCTTCCGCTGCCAGGAAGCGAAATCCGGCTGAAAGGATGGCTCATTAGACAGAGCGGCGTTCTGAGTTCCAAGTTCCCAGTGAAATACTTGTTTGCCAGCCTGGTTATTGCTCCATCAGGCCCAAGTACTCTCTTTGTCATATTCTGCCTATTGAGTGATACAGTCATTTGGTTTGGCCATAAGCAGCTCTTTGCCTATTCTGAGGGAATACAGTGAGCATATTCTTTGGTAAGGTGTTTTCTTTCAGCTTTATTAATTATTTAATTGAATTAAGTTTCTTATTGCCACGTTTTCTGCCTAAAAAAATGTATTTGCTAACTTTTAGGTGTTTGAAAATAAGCCTAATATAAATTGTATACTTCCAAAATAACTTTTGAAATTATAAATTTGGGATTTATATCCAACTTTTTTTTGTAACATTATTAAAAAAAGCAATTTAATTTTTTTAGGATGTGTTTTTAATAGAGTATTTTCCATTCAAAATTGCACTTGAGCTATTTAGGTGTCACTTTTTAGCAGTGCACAACTAAAATCCGACACCGAAAGAGTGACTAGGGAGGCGAGGCCTTAACCCGAAATGCCTGGACGCATATCGGGCGAAAATATCTTTGGCACACTTCACTTCACTTAGACAAACAAGCGGGCGACAGCGGCGCTGAAGGCTGATTCAGAATCTGAATGAAGAGTGGAGTGGTGAGTGGAGGCTACCAACAACCAACAACCAACAACTACCAACAATGCCTGGCAATAGCAATATAGCCCTGTTGTTGATTGAACAAAAACAAGTTAGCAGGGGATCGAAGCGAAGTGAAGTGGCTACGTGGGTTAACTTTTCCAGTTGCCAGAGCCCAGAGCTCCCAGAGCTCCCGGCACGTACAAAATCGTCCAGGATGTCTGACTGACTGGCTGACTTTCGTCCTGTTCGTCCTGGCTGTCTGGCAAAATTTGAACGAATTTGCCAGTGCTTCATAATTTCAGCCTCACTTTTGCATACTTTTCGTCCAAGTTTTTCCATGTGCTCGAGTGACTTTGATGCTGCCGAAAATGGACTTGGACTTGGTCTAAGTCCTCAGCTGCCTTTGTGTAATTTATGCCCTTGTTTTTTTGACGACCGACGACTGACAACGACAACGACGAGGACGACAACTTCCGGCCAACAACTACATTTCTCATTTACTAATTTAAATAAACTTTCAACAACACAACAGTCGCTCCAAGTTTTTGGCCACAGAAATTCTGTCACTTGAACGTAATGAGAGGATGTGCCTAAAAATATGCCCACACTATAGAGCTCTCTATGGTTATCCTTCAATTTCCTTATATAACTTACAAACAATTTTGCTGTTGCATAGCTGAGGGCGGCGAAATAATAAGGAGGAGCATTGTGAGGAACTTGAAGGCCCCAAGGGAACGGAACAAAACGCGCGACCGCAGCCCAGTTGGCCAACTTTCATAATTACGAGAGTAACGACAACAGCCGCAAGAAGAAGGCTTCAGATCCCGGCTATATAATACTTATTAATATATATGTACTATATACACATAGCTACACAGCAACAGGGCCGCAAATGCCACAGCCGTCGAAAAGTTTCCAAGTCAGCCGAATTTATGATAGAAATATACTTTCTCTGCACTTTGGGGGCTTAGTAGGTACTTAGTACCCGGCGTAAATGGAGAAAAGTCAGCTGTTGTGATAAAGTATTAATAGAGAGGCTATTCGTAAAAGGGGCCCCTTCTAACAGAATCGATAATGGCAAGTGTCATAAGCTCTCAATTAAATTTGCATATTTCTTAAACTAAAAAATAAATAAAAGTTTCTGAATGGAAAATAATAGTATGGTGCTAAGTCAAAAAAAATCTATAACCTATAAAATAATAAGGTTTAATACCATTAAAATAAAATGTAAAGATTGAAAGCCCCTATTAAATTAAAATATTTCTTTAAATACATAACTAAACTAAAAATACCTATTAAAATTAAATTAAATAAATCTTTTCTCTTATTCTTTTATTATTTTAATAAAACCCCACGAAAACAAGTTGAGTTCTACAGATTTTCAGTTTTGCAAACTCAAAAATTGGTTTAAATTATTCTCCTAGGAATATATTAAATTTATTGTAATAAAGATTGATTCCATTTGAATGAAAATTGATGAATTTGAAACGCTGGGTGGCTGCCTGATTGCAGTTTAGGCGGAGAGGTAGAGCTTTCCGCCCAAGCGAATATAACATTTGATTTATGCCCCACATTTCACATTCGACAGCTGTCTAATGCCAGGACATGCTCACAACAATTCTCAACCTCCCATCTCTCATATATCCTTGCAGAGTTCCTCCAACCACGCAGCCCGATTTCAAATCGAAAGCCAAAAAACCGAATGCACATCGACGGCGCCCAACAAATGGAGCAGCAGCATGATGCCAATTCGACGAGGCTGATGATGATGATTTAGATGGTAAAGGATCTGGAACTGAAACTGTAGGTGTAGCCATTGTCGAATTTCGGAAAGCGAAACTGTAGATGAAGAACCTGAAGGCGGTGGCTGGAGAACGGAAATGAAATCAAATCGCACAGGTAATTTGTTGCCACAATGGCCAGATGAGAGGCCTACCTACGACTTACTGCGGTATTTTTGAGACTACACGGGAAAATAGCAGGAAAAACTATACAAATGGAAAATAATATAATATGGATTAAATAAAATTATACAAAAAATAAATAATATAAAAATATGATAATTGGTTGGCTCGGTTTTTATATAAATCCTTTTTTTCAATTTGTTGATGATTTAACATGGATTTTTCTGCAGAGAGTTAATACAAATAAATATATAAAAATTAATATAATCAATAAATTTCTTAAGAATTCTGTTCAAGCAAATAGCAGTTTAATAAATAAATTAAATATTCAGGAATTTATTAAATTCATAAAAATAATACTAGAAATGAAATTCAATTAAAGACCTATTCAAGGGATATATTTTTCCCAGTGTTCCTTCCCCAAACCCCAAACCCCTCGTGAGTATGCATTACAAATGATGGGATTACTGTGCGCAGATGATTAGGTTTGAGTTGCAGAATCGAGGGCCCCGAACAATATGCGATGCCCGTCGGCATTCCGGGGGCCCAGAGTGGAGTGAATAGAGAGTCCTGGCAAGTATGTGCGGTCGAATAATGGCCTCGGCTGGCGTCTTTCAGTGTCTGTTCGTCCTGGCAAAACCAAAACCACAGCAATTATTGCTTTGCTATTGCTTGTGGATCAATTTAAATTGTGGGGTTCAATAACAGAATGCCTTCGCTGTGGTTTCCCCCCTTTCCCTCCCCTTCACCCCCTTTCTTTGATTAATATATATGTTAAATACATTATCATGAAAAATGACTTGAGGCTAAGACGCTGGCCACGCGGCGTATGCGCAATATGTTACACACAAGGAAAACATCAAACGCAGCATGGTGTTTACTTTACTCGATTTGTCATAAATTACCAGTACGATTCATGTTGATTTTTCCCAGCGACCTTGTAATCAATACATATCCCCCCACCCCTGTTTCTCTTTGGCTTTTGTGGATTTAATTGAATACACCCCGCGGACAGAAAGAAGACCATGGAAATCGGAGCACAGAAAATCGCGTATAATTAGTGCTTCATCAGGGCGAATTAGTCCAATTTGCCATTTCAATTCGTTCACTTTAACGTTTCACTAGAAAGTTAAAACCAATTTGGCAGACCGTATGAAAAATGCATCAATTCGGATCGCAATCAAATTAATGAATATAAGTGCTGAATATTTCATAAATAATAAAACAGAAAAGGGCAAAAACTCGGCGTTGGTTTGGGGGGTGGAAAGCGGGGATTGTGTGCGATTGTGGGGATTAAATATTTGTCTGTCTGCTGGATTGACATTTGACCTTCCGGCCACACAGATTTGTTAAGTGTTGCAAGAAAATTTGCATTCGTAATAGAGAATGATATGGGCGGTTCTTTTACAAACCGAACACCTTTTATTGGCTCACATTTTTGATTTGCCTGAAACTTTTTTTACACGTACTATTCGGAAAATAAGTAAACACGTGTATCAGGATTTGACCGAAAAAAATTATTTTCCTAGTTAGAATTTTTTTAAGTGTGCCAAAAATTGTCAAATTTGAAAAAGTACCCTCTCATTGAAAATCTGTATCTCCGGTTATATGAATCCAATTGACTTCATGTCTTTTGCATTAATTCTTCTGAAACCTCTCCTTTCAAAATAAAATTACTTAAAAAAAAATTTTTTTTAATTTCTTAAAAATAAAAACAAAATAAGATTTAAAAAAATTTTTTAACTATTGCCCCCACAAAAAAAAATTTTTTTTATTTTAATACTTGCGTCATATTGTTAGTTACAATCGGTTTTTGTAAAAAGTTGGAGCCACTTTTAGTTTTTAAAATATCGAATTTGTTTTAGCAAGGCCTCGGCTTTTTTCTATGAAAAAACGTCGCAGCAAGTAGATCTACTCTCTCACTCTTATCGGATCCTAATGGAATTTATGTTTTCGCATTGTTTACTAGTCCTTTAACAATTGTTAATGATTAAAAGTTAAGTTTTAAGTTTTTTGACAATTTCTGAATGACAAAAAGTAAAAAGTCATTTTTTAATCAATTAAAAACTTACAACTATTTATTTAACCGTCTATTTAATAAACAATAATTTTAAATTTATTTTATTTATTATTTTTTTATATTATGTAATTTATTAAACATTTTTAAATATTTTTTTTAAGTTTTTAAAAAAATTTATTTAATAAAAATAAAAAATTATAAAATTTAATTAATTTTTTTTTTTTATTTAAAAATAAATATTTTAAAATGTTTAATAAATTACATAATATAAAAAAATAATAAATAAAATAAATTTTAAATTATTGTTTATTAAATAGATGGTTAAATAAATAGTTGTAAGTTTTTAATTGATTAAAAAATGACTTTTTACTTTTTGTCATTCAGAATTGTCAAAAAACTTAAAACTTAACTTTTAATCATTAACAATTGTTAAAGGACTAGTAAACAATGAGAAAACATAAATTCCATTAGGATCCGATAAGAGTGAGAGAGTAGATCTACTTGCTGCGACGTTTTTTCATAGAAAAAAGCCGAGGCCTTGCTAAAACAAATTCGATATTTTAAAAACTAAAAGTGGCTCCAACTTTTTACAAAAACCGATTGTAACTAACAATATGACGCAAGTATTAAAATAAAAAAAAAAATTTTTTTTTGTGGGGGCAATAGTTAAAAAATTTTTTTAAATCTTATTTTGTTTTTATTTTTAAGAAATTAAAAAAAAAATTTTTTTAAGTAATTTTATTTTGAAAGGAGAGGTTTCAGAGGAATTAATGCAAAAGACATGAAGTCAATTGGATTCATATAACCGGAGATACAGATTTTCAATGAGAGGGTACTTTTTCAAATTTGACAATTTTTGGCACACTTAAAAAAATTCTAACTAGGAAAATATTTTTTTTCGGTCAAATCCTGATACACGTGTTTACTTATTTTCCGAATAGTACGTGTAAAAAAAGTTTCAGGCAAATCAAAAATGTGAAATTTTTTTTTTGGCCAAATCTGTTCGGTTTGTAAAAGAACGGCCCATATGCGTTTTTACTCGGCCATTCAAAGAATTACTTTCCCCATGCACTGAATTGTTTTTAATTGTCTACCGGTTTTTATTCACACATCAGGTTATTTATAATAATTATCCAATCCAATAATAAAGTAAATACAATTAAAAAAACGTATAAAACTAAGTGTAAAGATTAAATTCATCCATTTTCCTCCGTGTATCCTCGAGTATTTTGCAATGCAATTTACAGGACTCCGCCTGTTTGCTGTGGTGCCATGCAGGGAATGTCGGAAGGAGAATGAGAATGAAAATGGTATTGGGATCCGTAGGAGACAGCTGAAGGCGCCGGGGAAATGGTTTTCCACTTTCCAGCAGAACCGCAGACAGACAGCTGCGACAGCCGAGACACATGTAATGTGTGTGCGAGTGTTGCGATAAGTAAGCACAACAACTGTTGTACGACAGTGCGAGTAATAACAGTAATGACAGCGTACGCCCAAGTCATATGGATATCGATGGTAGACATGATTATGCATAATGTCTGAAAGCAACAAGATATTTGAGCAAGAAAATGGCTTAAATTCTGAAATCAGGTTGCCACGTGTCCTTGACAAACCAGAAAATGTATTTTGTGAGCTCTTTTGCATATTTATGACAATTTATTTAGTTTGCGCTCATATTTTTAATTGACTTTGCTGACGGCCCACGAGGTCGTCCTTCCAAGGACGAGTTGAAGGCAGGCTGGGCGGTGGGGGGATTCCAGGACGAAGGCCAGGACGACATTGAATTCGCATTAGATGCGCTGCAAAAGTTCATGAGGCCGTTGAGCTGTTAGCTGCTTTTACGGTTACTGCTTGTTTAGTTGGCCGACAGTTCGACATTGACATTGACATTGGTACATCCTTCATGCATATGCTGAATAATTAACTGGCAATATGTTCGGGAAAGCGAGGCACAAAGGCCGGGCCTTGACAGCCAGTCAGCTTAACCTTTGCCCTGCTCACTTTGGGCCGGCATTTAATTACGCAATGAATGCCTAGCACTTTGTATTATTTTGCGGAATTTTTATTCCCCCAAATATATATCCTTTCTTGGGCTACACTCATCGAATTTTGTAATTAAAAATAATAAGGGGTTTAATTTCTCTTATAAATGCTCCTAAAAGTATGTGGAGAAAAAAATTCTCCATTCAAAATAAATTCTTGTTGCATACTTTTCGACACTTTTATTTATTACTTCAAAAACCTTGTGATTTCCATATTTTCTCTGAATTTATGATTAAATTCAGAAATATTCTACTAAAGATAAATTTATGTTGCCTACTTTTAGACACTTTTATAAGATTTCTTTGATTTCAGGGCAAATTGGTCTCAAATAAATATGAATTCAAATTAGAATAATTTCTCTAAAGGCTTGTCTACAATCTCTCCGGTTTTAGCTCTTGTTTTATGAGTGTATCAGTCGCGAGCACTTGCTGAAAATAATTATAATTATTTTTTATTGCCAGCGGCATTTGCCGCCTTGTGGTTAATTAATTGCGGTCACTTTGCTCTCTGGATTCCCAGTCTCCCCCAAAACAAAAAAATCTTTACGGTCGTGCCATCGCTTAACGGCCATTAAGCCTTTTTTGTCTGGTTTGTCGGGGCTTTGGTGTTATTACGAGGTTCGCTTTTTATACCGCATACTTTTTTGTTCTTCACTCCGTTTGATTTAATTTTCTATGCCAGCCGTGCGTAATTAATATAAAGTTTTTGCAGCGAATAAATCAAAGGGATGCCTAGAAATGATGTCTTAATAAGGAAATTAAGTAGCATTTCCCTGATTTTACGACAAAATACGCACCGTATACGCCCTTAAATTCGGATGAGAGTGTGTTGAATTTCACGCATTCCTAATGAGTTGCCACGTTGGCTCGACATCATAAATGCGACGCCTCCATCCTCCTGCCCCCTTTTTAGTGGAATGGGGGGCGTGGCAG